TATTTTTGCATTTTTTTGTCAGTAATGTGTCGACTTCTAGAAACGTGATGGGGTCCCTTGCGATTATGAAAATGTTATTCTCTCTGGTGGAGCTTCCGAATCTATTCGTAATGTTCTCAAGTTGTTTATCAAACGTGGTGCAGAGAAACAAACCGGTATTATGATCCCTATTCCACAATATCCACTCTATTCTGCATCAGTCGAAGAGTATGGACTTGGCCAGGTACGTTGTCATTTCGTAGCTCTGAATTTAGATTAATTTATGGCGCGGTTAGGCTTGGTTGGGGCATCAGATGACACTTAGTGAAGTTGCTGCAGGTCACTTTGTGAAAACCTATGAATTTCTCTATTAAAATAGCTCATATGTACCATTCCGCTAGCTCATATGTACCATTCCGCAACTTCACAAGATTTTGCAATTCTCACCAATGGGAACTGTTACATAACATGAGCTGGGAACTGTGCAAAATGTCTCCCTCTCGGGCCAAACAGCGTCTATTTTTACTTTTAATAATCCTCAGATTTTCGAATTAATTCATAAGGATTCAGGGTTAGTGCGGAAAGGGTGCCGAGGATGGCTTTGTGTTGTCATGATGCATAACTGCTTTACCATCTCCATCTCTGAGATAGCGAGCCCTTCCCTCTACAAGCTCATTGTGAGCCTTACAGGGCGCCAGAGTACCGAAGTGCCCCCTTAGTCGTTCGTTCGTTCGTCATTACGAGCACAACCTCATTTTCAAGGGCCTGGGAGTGGTTTGAGGTTTTTGTTGTGTAGTTCAGCCTATCAATGGCCAAAGTAAAGACCCAGAGAACCTAACATCGGCGTCTCATGCGGGCACCCAAGCTTAGAAACTTCCAATAGAGAAACTCACCTTTTGTGGTTTCACCAGCGTCATATCCCATTTCGTGCTATGAAAGGCTGGTGCCAGATGCTAAATGCTACCTAAATGCGAAGGTTTTCAAGTATACCGAAAGCGAACTTAGATTTAGACTAGGTTTTTATTAGTATCAGCGTGCTGTACTATAATCTAGGCGCACTTTAATGGTTTTTT